CAAGCAGATATATGCACACCCATGTTTATCATGGCTTTGTTAGAGTTGGAAACAACCTAAGTGCCCATCAACAAACAAATGGATAGAGAAGCTGTGGTATATTCACACAATGGAATACTACGCTGCATTGAAAAACAGGAACTCATGAAATCTTATTCAAAGTGGATGACTCTGGAGCACATTATGCTGAGTGAAATATGTCAGTCACAAAAGGACAAATACTGCATAGTGCCACTGCTGTAAAACAGGACTGCCATTGGGGATGGGAGGGGACTGAGAAAGATGGGATAAATTATGTATACTGCATTGAAAGAGATGAGGGAGAGAACTGTTTAAAAGGGATATATGATTAGGTATTATAGTCATGACAGGAGTCCAGAATGAAGGCTGTATAATGGAGTGGACTTGGGGGAGGTAGGAATTATATAACAATGAAAGAATTTTTCTTTTACTTTTCAAAGAGAAGAGTGAATTGAAGCAGAAGGGTGGGAAGGGAGAAAAGTGCAACAATGAATTAATGGAAATCCAAGGTCTCTGTAAACTTTAATTAAAATGAATTAAAAACAAACAAACAAAAAAACCCAAACAAAAACCTGGTAGAGCTGATGTGAATGTGTGTACATGTGTGCTAAGAAAGCCCAAACTTAACATCTCTAATGTGACTCCCCTACTCACACTATTTTGCAGGCCTGCTGGCCTCCTTACTTGAATGTCTGTCTTTGTTATCTAGGGCAGCTATAACAGAAATAATAGGAGAATGTTTTAACAAATTTCTTTTTTCAGTTTAATATGCCAGAGGTCAAAAATCAATCTTTTCTCCATTTTTCATAATCTTATTTATTGGTCTACATACCTCTGGAAACTCTATGAACTTTGATAAATGTTGATAGTTGTAGAGGGGCTTCAGGCCTTTTATTCTGCTATAACTCATGTTTGACTCGAAGGCAATCAACAACAATAACATTTATTGATCTAGTGTGAAGTTTTTTCCTTTCATTATACTTTAATCCATTCTGAAGCATAGTCTTTCAACTTCGTTATTAAATCCTTCAAACCTTCATTTTTACAAGCAATATTGTATTATCTGTGTATTAAAAATTGTTAATGAATTCTATTTGTAATGCATTGTAAACTGTTTTCAATATGATTCTTCAAAATGTTCTCCTTATCTTCAGATTGTTAAATTTGTTGTTAATGTTCATTAATACACAAAGTTTTTAATTTTAATGATGTCCCGTTTGTATGCTTTTGCATTGTTTCCTGTGCCTTTTATTCTTTCAATCTAGGAATTTATGTGAACTATTGGATCCTGAATCCAATTACCTCTATATTTTGTTTTAAGAATTTTATGATTTTATTTCTTGCATTTTAATTCCTTGATCCATTTTTAATGTGATATCAAGTATGAGTTTAACTTCATTTTTGAATTTTTTTTTGCATGTGAAAAACCAGTTGTCAAAGGACCATTTAATTAAAAAAATCTTTCCTATTGAATTGAATTGAATTGCCATCTCTATCAGAAGTCAGTGGACTTTAGCCTTATTTCTGGACTCATCAGTTCTATTTTATTGGTTTATATATCTGTTCTTACACCAGAACCAGATAAATAATACTAATTTTTTTTAATATTTCAATTTATTTCTTTTTCATTTCAGTGAACATCTACAGAGATTTTGGAATTCTATTCATTCACTGTTGCACCCTTCTC